AGAGGTTGTGCAGCTGAATCCTTCCTATACTTGCCACTAACGTGTGGTGCCACTGCCTACCTAGCATCAGACAGACAGGGACAGAAGCAAACCTCTGTGATCAGCACCAGTCTGTTTGCCATTTTGATCACCCACTGAACATTTCAGTAATCCATAGAACTGTTTCAAACTAGGCAAGTTTCTTTCCAAAGAGAGGCATCGCTCTTTCGTTCAACATATCAATAGTTTTGCTGGAAGGATGATTCACCTTATACTAAAACTTTCAAACCAAAACTGGTTTTGTCAGCGAAGTTAAGGATATGTAAGCGTAAACTTCTCCAAAAAGCCCTACAACATGAGTTTCTAGCAGGTTCATTGTTTTGATTTTACAAGACCCATGTTCAACTTGATAAATTACTCCACAAAAAATGAGTTTGATAATAAATGCAGCATGCTCTAGTTGCATATAGTCACATATCATGCCCCAGTTCTCTTACAGTCTGTAAAAGCTGAAACTAATTTACAAGTTTGACATAAAACCTATGGAATTCAATTGAAAGACTCCATTTAACAAAGTTTCAGAGCTCTACACTGAAAATAGTAAACTTCCGAAATAAATAGCAGATTACTTCATACTGGCAAGCAAAAATTTCTATCAATCCTGCAGCCTTTGTTTATACAACCGGTTACTCTCAAGAGTAAGTAATGTTGTATCAGGCTCCCAACGGCAGACGTACAGTGGTGGGTGCCATCAGGAAAGCTCAAGTCACACACAAAGTATTGTACACTGCTATTAATGACAGGCAAATTACTTCCATTTCAACTTTAAGAAAAATAACATGTAAGCAAACCTACATCGAAACATGACATTATTTCACTACTTGGCCAGCAGGATGTGAGCTGTTTCCACAAAGAGGCTATCAGTTAACTCAGTAACATTACTAGAAGTTTTTTCTCTCTGAAGTCATACTGCAGTTTTCTTTTTTTGCTCAGCACAGTTTTCCTTCTAAGAAACACACTTATAGCAGAAATAGTCCCAAATTTAAGTTGAGTCTCCATTTAGCCTACAAATACCTTTGGCTCAAGGAGAGGTGCTGCTGCAGTTGTTCTGTAAGAATCCTCACACCTCCAGCAGTATATACAGTGTTAGTCAGCGGTTTTACTTCTCTTCATTAATAACCTCAGCAGGAAGCAAAAAGCACATAGGAAAGCCTTCTGATACTTTCCTTTCACACAGAAGTCAAAGCCCAGAGTAAAACAAAGGACTTCTTAAAATAGAAAGTTTACAACAAATTGCTTAGAATAAAACACACCACTACATTGCAAATGCTGAAAGCACATTAATCTATATAGAGGCACTTATACCCCACATATTTGCGTCAGTGAAACTGTCGTGTATTATTCCAGGTTGCATAAATGTTCTCTTTAAAATGTTTTTACTGCTGGTATTTTATCTTCTAATTTCAGCAATCTTTCTATCCCAAATACCTCTGAGCTCATTACCCAGAACATTTAGGTGTGATCATAGCAAAAGATTGTTCTCATTTTTTATTTGGTTAGAGACTCTAAAATGAAATACATATGTTTTCAGTTGACAAACACCAAGCCAAATTTTAGCACTCTCATCCCATTTTCTGTCACTCCAAAGGTTGAGGACACTTATTTTGGAAAAATATGTAGGAAAACCCTGAAGTAATTTTTTTTTTTTAAAGCTTTATAAGTCTTATAAATGAACGCTGACATGTCATACAAGAAAAAAATACCAAGATCAAACTTTAGAGCATAGAAAACAAGAAGAATTATGAAAAGAAATGTTATCACTTGATCCTTTATTCCTTCAGCTGTACCTATGGACCAAAGACAGCTTCAGACTGAAGTAATTTCCCGCATACCTCATGACAGCTTAAAATATGCATGAAGCCCAAATGACTAATGCATATACCATACCCTGTAAAGCAGACTACAGCTACATGTCGTATTTCTGATAGCACAGTAATATTATATTGCAACTGCTTTAATTTTAGCTTAAGAGTTTGTCAGAAACCTGGAAATACTTAAACTCCATTCCCCCTGTCTTTACATACAAAGTTCTGGTATAGATAAGTGTACACTACTGAATACGTTGCTTCCCTCTGGTCAGGCAAGTGCTGACAAGACCAGAACTCTGGGTAAGCGGGAGCTGTTAGCAGCATATGGAAGCTCTCATTTCAACAGCAATAGCTAGGCTGTTTGCAAACACGCTTTCCAACTAGGAAGAGCAATTTCAGGTAGACAGTACAGTACTTTTCAGAATGAGGTTTGACATGCAGAGGAATACCTGCTTCTCTCAGACCTGATTCAGGGTCCAGTTAAGACCAAGGAAGATGGGACAGGCTTGTGCCCAGCCTGGTAACTTCCAGTTACATAGTTTAAAATATATTATTTTATTCCTTTATTTACAAAGGAGTCAAAAGATGTTAGTCTTTTCTATTTGTCACTTAGGATCACAAACACTTCACTCTTGCTGAGCAAATGACAGCACACACGTACTGCAGTAAGATTAGAAATGCCCTGCAAAACAATCACACAGATGTGCAATCAAACATCTACTAGCTAGATACACTCCAAGTTTTAAAACAAACTAGGTTTCACCAACATGATATAGTATACTTACTACATGATTGTGGGATAAGAATCAAAAATAGCATCCTCTTATATTGCTCAGAGTTCAGGGCCAGGTTTCCATGCTGCTTTAACTCATGTTTTCGCAATTTCATCATTCCTTACAACAGATGAGGATTTTCATTACAGCTTAATGCACTGTTCTCCATCTATACTCCACTGGCAGGTTCATGTACACAGGTATACACACAACACGCAAATTAAGATTTACACATTACTTTCACAATAATAACAAGTGACAATGGCCAGCATTTTTACTACACCCATATTAACTGTTCTTCTCCACAACTTTACAGCATCTGACAAAATCAAAACACAAAAAAACCAAAACAATTCAACCTTGCTGTGAAGACCAAGTATTTTCCTGAAGTTCAAGGCCTCTTCCTCAAGAGCAAAGCCATCAAGAGTTTTACCACTGACCAAGGTCAGATGAATGTTAGAATTAAACCTCATGCTTGTATCAAATTATATAAACATGAAAGAAGAGAGGTTTGACAACTTACTGGTGAGAGAAGTCCTCTGCAAAAATGATTACATAAAGCGTAGGACAGGGAAAGCTTTGATTAAAGTCAATAAACAGACTCCCAAATCACCAGCTGCCCTCTCCAGCATCTTGCAGCCTAAGTCCAAATTGTAGATAGTTGAAATACTCTGCACAAAGGACGCCAGCCAACTCAGGTTTAAAGTAACAACTGCATTCATTGCACTGTTAATATAGCTGAGTTCTTAACAAGACTATTTGGACAAAAAAAAAGAAAAATATCAGAAAGCCCACTGTGTTCGGAGCAGAAAAACCATATCTTTGTCTGTGTGTGAGTTTCAAAAGTACATACTTAAAACCTTATACCACCTTTCTACATAACCAGTGGCTGGGTTGATGAACATCATGAGTGCAAGAAAGAAGCCACTTTTAGGAAGTCTGGTTCCATACTCCATGCTACTAACAGCCAGGTCAATCTTAAACAGAAAGAACGGAATGGAGAAAGAAATATGGTATTTAATGGAAGTTTTGTAAGACCAACTTTTATAATTTATGTATTACACGTCTTCATGCAGTTGTCATGCACTCATCTTATAAACCATTTTAAAATCATTAAAAAGAGCAATCTCTACACTTACCACTTTGGGGTTCATCAGCCCTGTCAAGTATATGCATTTTACCAAAAATAATCTGGATTTACCCCTACAGAGCAGATTATCTTAACCAAAGGCATTCTGTAAGTTAATCACAATAGGTAAATGGACTGACGTGGCAAATGATGAGGACAGCACGCAGCACAGAGCTCACACTGTCTCCTCCATCTCACAAGCAGATCCAATAACAAGTGGTCAGTTCCACCGATGTCAACACAACTTCTCACAGCTGCTTATAAAATGGAAACACACAAACTCCATCCAAGACAATTCACTACGGCAAAATCATCACTTTCCGCAGAGCTTGACTTCAAATCTACGAGTAAAATCTAGGAAATGGGCTTTCAGCTATGACACTAATTTCCTTCGTGAAAACATCTCAAAGCACATAGAAGAAACATAATGGAACAGACCATAAAAGTTCTGTTACGTCTATAACAAGTTATTTCTATAGCATAGTGGGATGTTTGAACTTTGTTTTTAATAATTTGCTGTATTTCATTCATTTCAATATGGTTGTAACCGCTTCTCTTTCAAAATAACAAAATACTTAAACTGTCACTATCTTAAAAAAAGTAATTAATTTCAATCAGTGAGGATACACAGCTCTTAAAAGCTAGGCATGGTTATTGGGTATCTTTCTAAAATGCAGCAATAACAACACAAAAAAACCCACTTAAGATCTTCCTTAATTTTTAATTTGTTATAATTAAACACATGCAAACTCAAGGCTTTGAAAAGCTTTAGGAGCTATCAGATTCATTTATATCAAGCCTGGGGTCTTTTCCAAAGGTTATAGAAAAGGATATAAGTTAGGAAGGCGGAAATGAAATTGGAGACATTCACCTCCATTCTGCCAACTCCAATACAGGCAGGACAAGAAACATATGCAATTCCTCTCTGATATAAACAGAGATCTACCTAGGGACAAACAGTTTACATCTACCAACCACAGAGCAGGATCAAGGCCAAGAGCTGCTTCTCGATACCTTACACCAAAACTCAAGATGCACTTCTCCACTACTTTTTTAATCCACCCAACACCTGCTGGACGGATAAACAGGCATACTCTGATTCAATCGCTTGCTAAAGGAATAACGCTGACACCAGACTCGTTACCTTTCATTTCATATAAAACATTATTCCTTTTCCGGAAACAGCTGAAATAGCACTGAAACTACCTTAGTAATTTTCAAAGCGAGTTTTCACCATGTGTATTGACCCACCATTCATTCCATTGTATATACTTCTGTGGTGAGGTGACAGGTCATCTGTTACTTGTCTCCTGAGGGTACCTTCTCTGCTGCCTCCACTGAGATGTTTGAGATGCTCTGGGCTCCCTCCATAGTGTTGTTTGAGATGCTCAGGGCTCGTACCCCTCACTTTGTGGAGATGTTCTGTACTTCCGCTCGGCGTGTGCTTTTGAAGATGATCTGGGCTGCCACTGCCATGCTTTTGATGCTCAGGGCTACTACCAGGCCTCTGCTTTTGAAAGTGTTCAGGGCCACTACTCAAAACATGCTTTGGGATAGTTTCTGGACTGCTGCTGCTGTGCTTTTGTTGTTCAGGTGCTTTGACAATAGTTTTGTGATGTTCCGGACTTGGTCCTTTCAGGTGATGATCAGGACTGCCAGAACTCCGAGGCTTCTGCAAGTGCTCTGGGCTGATGCTCCTGTGTTTCTGATGCTCAGGGCTTCCTTCACCCCGAGTTTTTTGAAGATGTTCTGGACTAGTACTTGGATGATGTTTATGATGGTCTGGACTGTCTGTACTTCCCGTGCTAGAAGTACTACTCCCATCACCGACATCTCTTACGTAAGTACTCGTCGTGGTTAACTGGCACAGGCTGATTTGGCTGTCAATAGAGCTCCGGCTGCCTGCTCCACCACTCTTCTCCTCATCCAGCAACACACACAATTCTTTCAGCTCCAGGTTTTCCTTCACCACTTCTTCTTGTCTCACTTCCAGTTCTTTCAGCCTCTGTAAGTATAAGGCAACCTCTTTGTGCATAACACTCGCGCTGTACCTGCCCAGTCTCTGCCATTCACGGGACACCTTCTTGCCTTTCTGCCTGTCATCATCCAGAAAGCAGCAAAGGTCTCTCAGTTCTTGGTTATCTTCTTGCAGCTTCTGGTTGATATCCTTCAAAAGAAAGATTACCATGACAGAGAAGTGTCTAAAAGAATTAACGTTATACCATTACCATTACACAAGCCAGTGAACAGCACTGCTATAAATCCATCATCTAAGCACTCGAGTGAAGCATAAATAATTGCGGGTGTAGACCTGGCATATTGTAACAGCATCGTGCTTCAAACAAACAAAGTTGCTGTCTAGTAAAAAGTGACTATAAAGTGGAGTTAATCTTGAAGGGTTCAAAAACTAACTTCTGTTACAGCCTAAAAGTTTCAGGTACTTAATTAATTTTCATGCTAAATATCAGAATAATTTAGCTCCCAAACTGGGCAAAGATCATAAGCCTTCTCATGATGATCTCATTCTCTTGAGAAATATTCACCTGCGAGTGATTGCTGAATAAAACTGCAAAGTACATCAGAAATTGTAATCTCACTTAAATAATTAATTATTAACATTTATACTCTCTATTCCCTAAAGCATATTCACATATAAAGACGAACATTTTAGAGATTTAACAAATTTGGGTTTTTGTTTGATTTTGTTTCAGATTTGCATAAAAGAACCTTGTCAGTCATCACTTCATCAGAATTGCTTCAACCACGCTGAAATGAAATAATCTGCTTTAATAGATTTTTTTACTCCTAACAAGATGAAGTACATGATTCCATGCCCTTCTCTAAGTCAGGAAGTCTGAAGCAAATGCTCTGAAGCAAAAATGTTCAAGCTATTACTATAGCAGAATAACATGCCAAAGAAAACACTTTCAGTATTTTATCCTCCTAGTTTTACTAAACTGGCTTGTGACCATATTTGTCTTTCTCCCATCTAAATACTCATTCCTTCTTCTGTATGATATTAGAAGTAGAGATTAGCCTCAGTTGTTAAAAATTTAGCCTAATGGAAAGACCATTTTAGCACTAGTTCTCAAGAAAAGGAAGCTTTTGTAACTCCACTGGATTTGTGTGCATGCATGTCTTTGTCTGATCTTGGCCTCAAAGTAACTTTGAACTTGACCAATTTCCACCATATTTGACAAAGGAAAAAATCTCAATGAGACTATGAGATATCCTTAAAAATCTGTGCTGGTGAGAGAGATTTAAAATGACCCCATGGTGGAATAAGAGAGTTGTGGAAGCCCACAATTCAGCAGTCAGAAGCAGGAGGCACCCACCCACCAAAACCAGGCGCAGCTGGGCATTCTTACTCATGGACCAGTTATTTCACACAGGACAAAGGAGGTAGATGACCAGACATCACCACAGGGCTCAAAACCTCGCTCTCCCAAATCCCTTTTAAAAGTTCCAGCTGAGGCATCTGAACAAAAGGCGGAAGTTAAACACCACTGAAGGAGGAATTTGTCACTCCTTCCCGACACATCTTGGTGTGTTTTGTTACTTATCTGGAAGATGCATACATCCATATGATGTCACACGACCTTTACACATAACTGGGAGAAAGATACTATTGTTGTAATTTAACTTTAAATGTAAGTGTAAGATTTATTTTAACTAAAGGACTATCATGGATGGGTCTTTTTTTTACCCTCTGACACTATACATTATCAGAAAGAGGGAGAGGACACACACACACTCATACTTTGCAGAACAGGAAAACGCGGGAGACAGGAACAGTCTTCCCCCACATGCTATTTATTTTATGCCACGCTATTATCAGAGACACTTTCTCAGTAATTTAGTTGTTTAAAGCCATTCTACAACTGAAGAACTCTCTTCTGATGTACCCTCACATAACAATTCAAAAGCCCACGCTGCATCTCTGTCTCTCCTTCCCTCCAACCTCACCTCACTGAAGGAATTTCCTAAAAACAATGTCCTTTCTCAAAGCAACAAGACAGAAAATGTGCCTACTTTAAGGTAACTTTCTAGATCTCTAATACTTGTGTACACGCAACATCAGGGTAATTATCTGTAAATAGTCATGCTATCTTCCCAGTCCTCCGAACCAGGAAGGAAGCATTCAGGACTATGCTTTTCATCCAACAAAAGAGTTAAATTACAAAGGGATAAGTAATTACAGACTTGATCTGCCTCTGACTATAGTCTGCAGAAGTATACACTCGAAAAAGGTTTGATCAGAGATGCATCATCAGCTGTCTTTTTCAGACAATAAACTAGGGACTGGTTCTGATCACCCCAAAACTGAGCCCAAGGGTTTGCCAACACCTGCCATGCGTTGCATCCTGGAAGTGACCAGCTCTCTCCAGCAGCCTACCGGACTGCCTGACAGATGAGTAAGTCCTCTTAAAACAGCGACAGAAAACAGCGTATGCTACACAAAACCTTTTGAATGCCTACAGCGCTGCACAGTATTGTTTCACGTGCACTTCAGCCAGGATCACTTAACCTTACTACAAACCAGTGAAGTCTAACACAAAGCGGATGAGACTTAAGTGTTTTTATCAACCCCAAGTATACTGGGACAGAGCGTAACACAGCCGTGCTCCACAGCCTGCCAAACAGCTGGTCATCTCTTAACCGGCCACTCCATTCTCAAGCAGGATCAAACGCTATTCAGTCCTCGTTCACCGTTCATGCGATTCTCGGTAACGGCGCCTCCCAGACCGTCCACCTGATGAGACGGCTCCCGGCGGGACGGGGCAGGGGGGACGCGGAGCCACGGCAGAAAGTTCAGGGGTCCCACCCTGCCCACCCCGCTACCTTCAAGCCGCGGATCTCGCCGAGGTGGAGCTGGAGGCGACGGTTGACCTCACGGATGAGGTTGCTGTGGTCCAGCATCGCGCTCATCTTCTCGGCCTCGGCGCGGCGGAGGCTGCGGATCAGCTCCTCCTTGCTCCACTTGAGCAGCTCCTCGTCCGACACCTTGGACAAGTCCTCGGCCGGCGCCGCT